GGCACCTTTAGGATCCAAACTCTAGAAAAGATGAAAAAGTATTTGGCAAATGCTTTTTTATACCATTCATGATATAAGGTTTTGGCAAACTAGAAACAGAGGAAACTTTCTCAACTCATAAAGAACATCTCCCAATAAATGCACCATTATCGTCATATTTGCTGGAAATGTCTTTGAAGCCTTTCTACTAAGATCAAGAAAAAGGCAAGAGCTGAGGAGATAGCTCAGCAGAATAAGCACTTGCCTGACATGAGGCAAGGTCTCTGGTACCACGAAAGAAAGAAAAAAGAAAGAAATAAAGAAAGAAAAAAGAAGAAAGAAAGAAAGAAAGAAAGAAAGAAAGAAAGAAAGAAAGAAAGAAAGAAAGAAAGAGAAAAAGGCAAGACCTGAGTGTGGTGGCACGTGTGTGTTTTCTCAGCATATAGGAGGCTGAAGCAGGATTGCTTCAAGTTCAAGGGAAGCCTGGCTATGCAGTGAGTTCAAGGCTAATATGAACGACATGGCAAGAATTTGTCTCAAAACAAAACAAACAAAAACTAAAAAAGAAAGAAAAAAGCAAGTGTTTCTCTCTCACCACTACTTTTCAGCATTAGACTTGGAAGTCCTAGGTAATGCAATAATATAGGAAAAGGAAATAAAAGTATGCAGATTGGAAAGAAAGAATTGTCCTTGTTCTCAGGTGATATGATTGTCTATGTAGAAAATCAGTAGAATTGACTCTAAAAGTATAAAAGAACAAAAACCAATGCCTAGAACTAAAAAGCAAGCAGGCTGCAGGACACAAGGCTAATATGCAAAAATCAGTCTTCCTATAAGCCATAATGAGCAAGTGAACATTGAAATTAAAAACATTTTACTATTTGCATTAGTATTCAAAAATACTTAGGTATAAAACTAATGAGATATGTACAAGGTTTATATGAAGAGAATTATAAACCTCTGGCAGAAGTTATCAAAGAATTAAACATATGAAGAAATAGCCCATGTTTATGGATAAAAAGACCTAATACTGTCAAGATGTTGATTCTCTCCAACTTGATTTATAGATTCAATGTAATCTCAACTAAGATTCCAAGAAATTATGTTTCAATTATTGAGAAATTAATTTTAAAATGTATATGGATAGCTACAGATCCAGAATAGTCAACTGATACTAAAGGAGGAGATAAAATTGGGGAACTGATATTATTCAACATTAAGATTAACAAAGATACACAATAATCAAGACACTGTGGTACTGCTGAAAGGAGAGACAAATACATGAATGAATAGAAAGTCCAGAAATACCTTGCATAAATATGATATTTGAAAAAGGAACATGATCATCATTGAAGCAAAGATAGTTTTTTGTTTTTTTTTTAACAAAGGGAGCTAGAAAAACTGAACATTCATGTGAGAAAAAATGAAAATAAACATAGTCCTTACATTTTCACAAAAACTAACTCAAAATGTATCATAGATCTAAATATAAAGAGCAAAACTATAAAAGCCTTATAAGGTATCATGGGAAATAACCAAGATGACTGTGAGTACGGTGAGGACTTTAGAAGGCATGACCTGTGGAAGAAATAATACAGTAGACTCCATTAAAAATTTAAAACTTTCGCTCTAAAAAGACAATGTCAAAAAGACAAGACAACCCATAGAATGAGAACAATATGAGCAAAAAACACATATGATAAAGAACTATTATCTACAATATATAAAAAGCCCTGGAAACTCAGGAATAAAATTGAACATTCTTTTTTTCTTTTTTCTTTTTCTTTTTTTCTTTTCTTTTTCTTTTTCTTTTTTTTCTTTTTTTTTTTTTGGCAGAACCAGGGATTGAACTCAGGCCCTTGCACTTGCCAGGGAAGTGCTTATTCCACTAAGCGATCTCCCCGGCCCCCTAAAATTGCACATTCTGATTAAAAGTTGGGCAAAAGACTTTGACAAACACCTTATCAAAGAAGATTTGCAGATTAAAAAATAAACATAGGAAAAGATCTGTTACATTAGGTGGCTGCAAATTAGAATAACAATGAGGTATCATTGCACACGTACTACACACCTATTAGAATTGCTCAAACCCCAAGCCCCGACAGCACCAAATGCTGCTGAGGATGTGGAGCAACAGGAGCGCTCAGCCATCGTTGGCGGGAATGCAAATGGCACCACCTCTCTGGAAGACAGTTTAGTGGTTTCTTCCAGAACTAAAATATTTTTACCATATGACTCAGCCATCATGCTTTTTGGTATTTACCCAAATAAATTAAATGTTATGTCCCTAAGAAAACCCTACACATGGACATTTATAGCAGTTTTATTCTTAACTGAAAAAACTTGGAAAGAACTAGGATCTTTAGTAACTGAATGGATAAACGGGTACACCCAGAACATGGGATGTTATCTAATGGTAAAAAGGAGATAAGTTATGAAGCCAGGAAAAGACACAATGGAACTTTAAATACACATTGCTAAGTCAGAGAAGCCAATCTGAAAAAACTACATACTCTATGGTACAAGCAGTGATCCAAAACAAAGACATTGAATAAAAATCTTAGTACAGTAAAAGACACATTGGCAAGAATGATAGGATAAGTGTGTTTGAAGCACAGGAAGTATTTTGAGAGACACTAATGGTGATGTCTTTTTTTTTTTTTTTTTATGTGTTTGGTACAGGGTCTCACTACTCAGCTCAGAGTCTCAGTTCAAGAAGTTTTCAGCTTCTCCAGTGCTGAGTTTACAGGTGTGTGCCACCACTCCCAGATTCTAGGCTTGTTTTTTAAAGCGTGGGGGAATAGTGTGAGGGAGATTAATGGCAATGTGTCTTTGCCTATAATATTTATTTTTTAATTTAAAGTCACTATACCTTTTGATCCTATGTCGCATATAATGTTCTAGATAAGAGAAAACTCTGGAGGCAGCAAGAAGAGCAGTGGTCTGGGGTGATCAGGGAAGATGAGTGTGGATCTCAGGGGGCTGTTAAGGCAGTTGTTGACGTGTCCTTCCATAGTAGGCATCAAAACCAAGTACAATACATCCAAAGTGACCTAATATAACCTATGGAATCTGAGTGATAGCAATGCGTCAGTGTAAGCTCATTGAGTATAACACAAATGTGCCACTCTGGTGCACAATGCCACTAGCAGCAGGAGCTATGGAGACGTGGGGACAGGATATATGGGAAATGTCCATGCTTCTTGTTCAGGCTTTCTGTTAGCCTAAAACTACTATAAAAGAAAAAGGTTATTAACTAAAGGAACCAAGATCATCCAATAAATATATGACCACATCTCCTTAGTAATTCATAAAATGCATATAAAAATTACAAAGACCAAAAATGCACCAGGATGGTGACAAAGTTCCCCAACATAAATGCTGAAAAGGCAGAATCAAGGTACACTCATTCTCAGCCATCGCAGGTATAAATGGATAGCGTTCTACTCTGAACGACATTTTAGCGCCAAGTACAGAAGCTGAAGAGCCACACTCACAGTGACCTCCCCAGTTTCACTCCTGGTTTACAGAAACTCAAGTACCTGTGAGCCAGAAATATGACAGTGTTTAGAAGAGCTGTCTTAGACCACACCTCCCTAACAAAATGCCATATCCAGGTAGCTCACAGACAATAGAAATTTACCTGTCACACTTCTGGAAGGAGTGGAGGGTTGCACCTCAATCTCATTATAAGCTCCTTAATCTCATTCATGGGAGAGGAGCTCTGGTGACGTCATCACTTTCTAACAGTCATACCTCTTAATGCTATTGCATTGCAGATTAATTTGAATAATTACGAATTATTCAAATGAATTTTGGAATGGACTAAGACATTTCTTTTTTTTTTTTTTTTTTGTGGAACCAGGGATTGAACTCAGATCCTTGCGTTTGCCAGTCAAGCGCTTATCCTACTGAGCCATCTCCCCGGCCCTGGACTAAGACATTTAAGCTATAGCTAGTGCTCAGTGATAATAAAAACTGCCAATAGCCATATATCTACCACCCAGGATCAACTAATCTGTGGCATAATCAAATCAAACAATGGGGTACCTCAGAACAATGACAAGGAATAACCCACAACAATATACAGTAGCAAGGGTTAATCTTAGCATTATAATATTAAGTAAAAGAAGCTCAACATGAAAATACATACTTATACTCCCTTAACATACACTTAAAAACAGACCAAACCAAACCATATTGATTTGAGGTGAAAACAGATGGGAAAAATACACACCCAAGCAAGAGAGGATTTCCATTCAAGTCAGAAGAGGGGAGGAGGGCTGGAGGAGAAAGGGGTGTGACTGGGGAGCCACCTGGGGAAACTCCCGGCGATGGTGTTTTATTTCTTGACCTGGGTGAGTACAGTTATTAAAGTGTGTGCTTTGTGACTATTCACTACAGTGTTTGGTACTACTTTTTGGTACAGAGTTAGTATAAAGCAAAGAAGAGGCTCGTGGCTGAAAGCAGATGTCATCTCCCAGTGGGACAAGGCAGCAGAGCTGATTCCGAGAGCCAAAGCCTGGGTCTGGGGCCATGGAGAAAAGGTCCTCACTTTGGGACCCAGCCCTACCTCCCCCCAAAGCATAGCAAAGCCATATTTCCATTTCATAAATATCACCTTGGAGGTGAAGGGGGTTTATTCAGCTGTAAGAAAATATTAACAAAGAGTAGATTTTTTCTTTCCAGTACCAGGAGTCAAACTCATAACCTCACAATTGTCAGGCAGGCACTGTGTCCCTGAGTTAAATCTCCAGCCCAAGAACCACATACTCTTTAATGAGCTGAGCCTGCTAAGCCTGGGCCAGGACAGAACAGGGCCTGTTGCACATGCTCCAAATGCCCTTTTCACGCTCAGATTAAGTCCTCTCCAGATCCAGAAAGTCCCCTTCTCAAGTGTCTCCAGAGTTCCAGCGCAGAGTACGGCCTTTGTGATGTCGTCAGAATCTGCCTCTGACTTCACCCACCAGAAGTTTCCATTATTGATCACTGGTAGTGGCTGTTGTGGGGGTGGAGGACAGTGACCTGTCACTAGTTTTCCATTTCTCTTCTTCTGGGACAGAAGTTCTGACTGACACATCCACTGCAGCTGGCTAAGGGCACCTAACTGGAGGGTCTTTGGTGAGTGCGGCCAAGCCCGAGGCCAGAGCCAGAGGCCAGGGAGAGCAGAAGGGAGGCCTGAGGTCTCTGCTGTGGGGAGCCAGGTGATTCAGGGCTCCCCATTCCAGCCCACTGACCTGGTGTATCAGCTCCCACTGTGGATCTAGGTCTGATTTTCTCTAGAAATCTTCAACCCTCTGTCTGGTCAGACAGGGAACACTGACAAAACGACTTTCTGCCCCAATACATTGTCCTTCCACCTGTGCGCGGGAAATCAGATTCCCTTCTGCCCGAAAGGGCACGAGTGTGTGACAGAAGCCCAGGCTCCCAGAATGGGCCCACTTTTTAAGCAAGTCTTCATCTGGCTCTTGGGGATGGGGGATACTTAGGGTATCTGGATTGTCCCTTAAAATATGAATAGTGGCTTGGTTCAGCCTTGAAAATACTGTCCTTGTCAACGGTGTAAGTTCACATCCCAGATCCTGTAGCAAAATCTGCAGTCTGACTCCTATCACCTGTAGGCCCACTGTCCCTGCTTCTGTCTGTCTAGCAGTCTTACCTGGCACCAGGCCTTAGGGTTGGGGACATCAGTGTGGGCTCCCTGCCCTGAGCCTCCAATCATCAGAGTGGGACTGATGAGCCAGTTCTCCTGGCCACTCCCCACCTCTTCCCTCACACCCAGAGCATTCAGGACAGCGCATCTGAGTAATGTGTGAAGCTACCTGTAGGCATCTATGTGAGGGAGTTGTGTTTGTTTTGGGTGAGTAGAAACAATTCTGTAATGGCCACACAGATGCACTGTATATCTCTGTGGGCCCAGGTGAGTGTTTCTGATGAAATGTCCTCTAGAGATCAAGGTCAAGTTCCCAGGGCCACCCAGTGGTCCGTGACACCGCTGCACCCCTGCACCTCTCCCCAGGGCTGGTCCAGGAACTGGGCAACTTCACTGACCAATAGTGGCACCTTCTTCAGTCCCATTGCTTGGCCAGTGCCAGTCAGATCCTCAAAGAGCCCTCCCCTCTGCTCCTGCCCACCATCCAGTCTTCTCCAAGGGGAAAGAGGAAGCAGAGGATGGATAGCTGTTTTAAGAGTTATTTCCAGTTTCAACAGAACTCATTGGCTAAGACTTAGGCCACAGTTGCAGCCAGCTGGAAGGGGCTGAGATTTAGAGCTCTAGCAGGGTAGCCATGGGTACAGGCTGTGACCTGTGGAGCTCTACTACTGAAAGGAAAAGGGAAAGAAAGGCTACAGGGAGCTCACGGTGGTCTCTGCTACATGAGATCTGTTGAAATTGTGTGCAGGGAACAAGGGTAGGGTCTAGCAGAGGAACTTTCCCAAGACAGTGCATCTGTTGGGGCTACGTGGACCCCGTGTTATCTCTATTCTGGATTCTGCTTCCAGACAAGTACGGGAAGTTAGCAGTGTATTTATGAAGACAGTAGTGGGCATAGTCATTCAAAGAGGACAGCCCAGGCCAAGGGCACTGCCACCTGAATCCACATGAGTATCCAACACAGAAAGTGGCTCCAACGCTACATGCACTGAGGACAAATGTTAAACCCTCTGATGTTCATTCTTGCACAATTTTATGGAGAAAGTGCTACAAGCCTGACCCCTGTGTGACTGGTGCTTAATGTTTGGGACAACGGGTGCTTTCTTTCTCCTCCATGCAGCCCACCTAGCTTTGTACAGGTTCCTCCTTCCGTATTCCCCATGTCCTTGATGCCCATTAGATCTCTCCTCCAAGGGCTGCAGTGAGTGGTGAGTGCTTGGTGGCAGGTTCATGATACGGCAGCAGAGGAGAGAAGAGACCGCTCCTGCCTAGGTCCCACTCTCCCACCATGACAACAGCAAGCATAGCAGCGAGTATTTACAGAGCACTTTCTTTGTACACAATATCTTATTTGATCCTCATGACTGTTCTGTAAGGTTACTGCAATTACTTCCCCCATTTTACATATGCAAACAATGAAGCTCAGAGAGATTGAGTCCCATATTTAGGTGACCCAGCTGGGACTCGAATCCATGGAACTCAGGTTCATGAGCACTGTTTTTGTTTTTATCTGGTTTATCTCTGCACTCATAAATCCTTCTAGAGGAGTGTAACAAAAGTGTTAGGACAGAGCCCAGCCACAGCCCTCTCAGGGTTACAGATGAGAAGGACAAACAGAGAGATCAAGTTAGCTATCCAAGACTGCACAACCTGAGAACAGCCAGGCCAGGCTAGAAGTCAGACCCCAGTGGTCTGTGGCCTCTGCCTAATAGTTGATTGAAAGCCTTCCTGTGCCATTCGTGAATGGAAAGGTAGATGAGTAGCTGAGTCTAAAGGTGTAGACTGGGACAGAGTCTGCCTAGTGGCTCACCCTGGGATTTTCTTTCTTTCTTTCTTTCTTTCTTTCTTTCTTTCTTTCTTTCTTTCTTCTTTCTTCTTTCTCTTTCTTTCTTTCTTTCTTTCTTCTTTCTTCTTTCTTCTTTCTTCTTTCTCTTTCTTTCTTTCTTTCTTTCTTTCTTTCTTTCTTTCTTTCTTTCTTTCTTTCTTTCTTTCTTGTGTGATGTATTTAGCAGAGTCTACAGGGTCTCGCTACACAGATCGGACTTGTAGTGATCCTCCTGTTTTCAGCCTCCCAAGCACTGGGATTACAGGCTTGAGTCATCATGCTCAGTCTCATTCGCCTTCTCAGCGCGTCCCAGGGGCGGGGCTGGTAATGGCACACTGGGATTGAACCTTGGTCCCTGCGTCTGCCTAAGCAGGTGCTTTAATCCGTTGAGCTATCTCGCAGGCCCTTACCCTGGGATTTTCAAGAGCCAAGGTCCTGCCAGCTTGGCAGAGGTGTGGTGTTGCTGGTTATGGTGGATCCCCCCAGAAAGCCTAGCTAAACTGTGACCCCCTCCTCTGGTGTCACACACCCTGGGGCTCCTCTGCTTCCTCTCTGGCCTTTTTTATCACGGTTGCTAATGGCCTTGACAGTACCTTACCACTATAAACTTGCGGGATGGGCGTCCCTTCTAGAGATTATTCCGTGTTGCCTTCCATGGCACAGCAAGAAAGGACAGTGTCTATTAAATAGTGCTAGGCCCCACCTGGCAAAGGCAGCCTGTTGGCTTGTCCTTCGCTTTGCGTGCTGCTCTTGAGGATTCAAACCACCGACCTCTGCTCCCAGGGTCAAAATCAGCTACCGCTAGCAGGGTAGCTGGGGTTTTGCTGAAATTGGAGACCCACTTGAGGAGTGAGACACTGGGCACACGTGGAAATGCCCTAGCCCACTTGCTCAGTCCTCCAAGGGAGAGGCTGTGGCCAATCTGTAGCGCTTGCTACTGCTGGGGAAGAAGGCGCCAGAACTGGATAGCAGCCGCTGAGACGCAGAGCGCGAGCCGGTCCTTGGGCGGGTCGGAGCACTCCCTCCGTCGGGTTCTGTATCTTTTTCTGCTTCTGGCCGGATTGGTAGGATTGGGAGGCCTCAAAGGAGAGTTCTGGCGGTGGAAGGTGGCCCAGCAGCCGTGGAGGCCCGGAGTGGCAGCCTACTGCAGCAAGGGACCGGCAGCCTTGTGCGTGTGCGATGGGAATTTGTAGATGGTTTCTGGTCGCCACGGGATCTCTGAGGCGGAGCCTGGGCCGTGGCGTCTGATGATCCAGCCTGGGTTCCCGACAGGTCTGAGCAGCCTTGGGGCGGGGCCGCGGCTGGCTCCTGCTAGGAGGGGAGGGATGCGGCTCCCGCCGTGGGGTGGAGGGGAATTTGCTGACGGTCCCTTGCCAGGTGGTGCTAGCTCCGCTAGGCCGGCGAGGGGGAGGAGGAGGACTGGCTGGCAGCTCCTCCCAGGTGGGAGCGTGTGGCCTGTCGCCGCACCCCGCGGCCCGAACACCTCGCCTGGGCTGGGCCGTGGCGCCGGGGCGCAGACGTGGTGAGCACACAGTGCGAGCCTGGGCCGGTGGGGCTGGGGTCGGGGCGAGAAGCTGGGTCGAGGATGGGGAAGGGTGGGAAGGATCGCTGGCTCCGTGCTTTCTGGGACCTCAGATTGGAAAGATGGGGGTGGGGGAGACTGCGCCACAGAGCCTTGCCACACTGGCTGTGCCCCCGCGTGTACCCAGGGAGGGGTGACCTGAGCCGCCCACTGTGGAGTGCTTGGTAGACCGTCTTCAGTGGAGGGACTGGGAGTGGTGGTGGTGGAGGCTCTCTTGGGTCCCCCAGCGCTGCCCGACAACCTGGAAGGAGTTACCTCTGGGGACCACCCCACCACACCCAGGGATTCCCGAGATCTGCCGCCCACTTCCAGGGCGGGGAAGGGTGGAGGCAGCCATCCCATCCATCACCACCGTCGCTGCTGCTGTGCTCCGGAATGGGGTCCCATGCTGCCCCGCCCGAGGTGGCCTGCGCTGCTGGGCCCCCCGGCAAAGGATCCCTGACACCTTCCCCCATGTGCTTCCGAGGAAAGATTCTTGATTCTGTCCTCGCTGTAGCTTTGAGGGAGAAACTTTGGGATCGACTGGAGGAGGCCTTGGGTCAACTGAGGCCCAGGAGTGTTAGGGCTTGAACGAGATCACTTAGCAGGTCCACAGAGCTGGCCTCCAGGGCTCTGCATCCCCATGTGCTCGCTGAGGGGCTGGGGCTGCTCTTGTTCTTCAGATCCCTGGTCCAGTCTGGTGTGGCTTCCCGCTCTAGTGGAATCCTTGTCCTGTGTCCCCCTTCCTCAGCCCCCCAGACAGTTAGTTACCACTTCCGCTCAGGGCTCCAGGATGCCCCAGGTATGAACACTGCAAGGATCAGAAGAGTCTGGGGAGAGCATTACTCAGGTGACACTCACCTGGGCACAGGGGACGGTGGGTCCCTACCCCTGAGGAGTAGGAGGAGGTAACTCCTTCCTGGGAGGAGTGAGAAGTGGCTCTAGGAGGGGATACTGGAGGGCCAGCCTAGTTCCTTAGCATATGCCGTGTGTCAGTTTTGGTGGAAGCCTCAGGAACCTTCCCAGACAGCTGGGGGGACACACAGATAGAGACTCCTTTAATAGCCAGAAGGTTGGGAAGG